CATAGGATTACTCTGTGTAGTCACAGAGGGTACTCTGTCTTGCAGAAAAATAATTAGTTTGTTTGTTTGTTTTTCTTAAAGCTGTTTTATAACTTTGAGGTTTCAAATTGTGGAGGTCTTCAGCTGCTCGCATTTTAACAAGAACTGGGAAATTTGAGCACATTAGCCCTGTACTAAGATCTCTTCATTGGCTACCTTGTCAGGTTCGAGCAGATTTTAAGGTCCTGTTGCTCACCTGCAAGGCTTTAAATGGACTGGCACCTTCATACCTCTCCGACCTTTTACATCTTTACGTTCCATCCCGTGCTCTCCGATCTCAGGACTCTGGCCTTCTAAAGGTTCCTAGAGCCAGAAAAAAGACAATTGGAGAGCGTGCTTTTTCTTTTCGTGTCCCGTTTCTGTGGAACAACCTCCCTCAAGATGTTAGGCAGGCTGCTCTGTGGAGGTTTTTAAAACTAAGCTGAAGACACATTTGTTCACCTTATCTTACAAGTCTTAATTCTGTGGCTTTTAGTTTTTAAATTTTTACTGTTTTTAACTTGTATTGTGTCTTTTACCTGTATTGCTATGTATCGCTTTTATTTTTTTTTATTTATTTTTTTTATCTTTTTAGTTTCAAATAGTTGTACAGCACTTTGTTTGAAAGCGCTTTATAAATAAAGTTATTATTATTATTATTATTATTATTTGCATATCTTTAGCCTAAATAATGTAATGAAATAGCTTTTTTGTCTTCCAAAGAATTATAAACACAAATCTATTCAACATCAAAAACAGGAAACAGAAAAGAAGTCTTTGCACTACCGAAGCCACACCCTGTAAACTTTTGTATTAGTAATATTCATGATGTAGCACAAGGGATGTCTCTTTGTTTCACACTAGAATATCGCAGTTCTTAAATAGCATGAAATTGTACCTCCCAATGATTTAATCTAATATCTTTGGAGACATGCTGCCTTTTTCTGTTGAACCATCATTAAGTTCTCTGTTGAGATGCAATAGACGCTGACATGACCCCACATTACTTGTGCCAACATCAACTAAAATTGTCTGTACATATATGCATGTAGATGCTCCTCTGGGGTGGGTGCTGGTCTGACTGTGGATTCTGATCCAGCCCTGCATAAAATACAAGGATTTTCTTTCAGTTTAAGTTTTAATGAAAGAAATTAAGAAATTAACACTTCTGTTGAAAGGTTGTTTTACAGCAGGGGTGTCAAACTCAAATACACAGTGGGCCAAAATTCAAAACTGGAACAAAGTCGCGGGCTAACGTTAATATTTATTGAAATATATTTATTCCTCCAGATATAAGAATGAATCTTTTCTTATGGACTCAAACACATTTTGCTGAAAAGCTGAATATGGAACAAGCAAAGCTTAATACTAAACAATATATATATTAGCTGTATAATACCAGTAGGCCAGCTCTAATTGTAATTTGGTATGGCTTCGCGGGCCAAATAGTTTGACACCTATGATTTACAGTATTTTACAGTTTTTACCTATTACTGCATTTACTTAAGTACTTATTTATTACATATATATCAGGAGTGAGAAGCAAAATGTGCAATAACTGGTAAGTTTGTAGCTGATTTTGTAGTTGCAGTAGC